TGTTTCCTATTTTCCTTTCCTTCCCAGTCATAGATTTCCCAGCCAAAGTCTGGGTCATGGGGCTAAAGGATTCAGTATCTGATCATAACCATCTTAGCTCCGCATGAAACTAGGGGACATGTCTAAACTCAGAATAGGTATGGTGATCTGAAACCTGGCAGGACTCTTGCTTTCTACTGATGCCTTCTCCAAGGGCATCTTGAAGTCTCTTACTATGGTCTGCTTAATCTATTAGCCTCCACACTTGAACATTTTTCTGTCCTTGAAGCCTGGATTTCATTGAAGCTTAGATGTGTCTAATCTAAGGCTACTATGAGAAACAACATGCTGCAATGGAAAGAATAGTGAATTGAGAGTCAGAGGAACTGGGTTCAAATCCTGCCTGTGATACTTACCTCCTATGTTATTTTGGACAAGTCACTTAACTTCTTTGGGGGTATTGGACTCTGTAGCCTCAAAAGTCCCTTCTAGCTCCAAACTTATGTTTCTGTGTCACTAAATTGGTTATCTAAAATGAACACTGTAATTTTTTTTTGAGAACCATTATAGGACCATAGAACTAGAAGAAACCATCATAGAAGTTATCTAGTTCAAATCCTTCATTTTACTGATGAGGAAACTGAGGCTCAGAAAAGTTTAGTGATTTGCCTGAGCTCACACAGGTACAAGAGAGCTTGTTGGCTTGAACTGGGATTAAAACTCAGGACCCATGACTCCAAGTTCAACACTCCAAGTTTATTGCTCTTTCCATTGTACCTGGTTTTGGTTCCCCATTATCTTCAAAATAAAATCCAGAATCTTTAGCCCAATAAGTCACCTGTCTTCTCACTAGCACCTTCAACTCAGCTTGATTAAAATTTAATTGTTTTTATGATGAGTTTGCCCCCATGTGGTCAAATTTATATAGCAGGGCATTGCTGAAATGCTTATTTGTTGCTTATGTAAGAATGCAGTTAATAGAATCTGTTTTCTCATTTCTCAGGTCTTTCTACAACACAGCCCTCAGGTCTCAATCTTATCTTCATGTTCTATCTTCTTCAGTGTTTTTCTACGTAAGCTATACTCCGTAGCAAAACTAGATTTATTTGTATTTTTGGTTTTTGCTATTGTTACATTTGTACACCACCCCTCCTACCTGACACTTTGCAGCTAAAATTCTTCTAGGCTTAGCTCTCATCTGCTCCCTCTTATGAGGGAACTGATTACCCAAGCAGAAGTGAAAGTAATTATTCTCTGTGCTGAGCACTGATAATTTTTTTAAAAAAAAAATTATTATTATTATTAGGCAATCGAGGTTAAGTGACTTGCCCAGGGTCACATAGCTAATAAGTGTCAAGTGTTTGGTCTGAGGCTGGATTTGAACTCAGGTCTTCCTGACTTCAGGGCCGGTGCTCTATCTACTGTGCCACCTAATTGCCCTAGGTACTCTAGGTGATGGACTACTCAAGATTAAAGGGGCTCTTTGATTCAGGAGCAATTTTTATATTAGCAGTCTCTGGTGGTGCAGGTGCTAGGAATCAAGGGACATGTAGGGGTATTGGTTTTTACAACTGAGTTGCCTATAACTCTGGGGAGGTCTCCCATCTACTATTCAAAGCCTAGGTCTTCCTTCTCACTCATTGTTTTCTCTTCTTTCTTCTCTGAATTTTTCTTAATCAGAAGTACCTCCATGAATCAGAAGTCAGGTTTTCCTCAGAGTATGCAACATTCAGCCCATGGAATCACAGGGCTGTCCTTATGAAAAACACCTAAGCTTACCTTGGCAGAGTGATCCATGAGTAAAGAAATCTGGAGGGCAAGGATTATCTTTTACCAAGAAAACCGCATGCATAGGAAGCTATAAGTAAACATTTTTGAGGGAATGAATGCATTTGTGAATGATGAGTGAGGAGCATTGGCCTTGGAATCAGAGGACCTTGGACAAATCACTTAACTCTTTTTGGCCTCAGTTTCCTAATCTGTAAAATAAAGGGAAAGACTCTTTCCAGCTCTAAATTTATGATCCAATAATTTTATTGGAGGAGAGTAGTATAGTGGATTGACAGGTGGCTTTGGAGCCCAGAAGGACCAGTTCAAGTTCCATCTGTGATATATACTGACTATGTCCCCAGACAAGTCAATCAAGTGCTCTTTAGACAACCTTCTAACACAGTAAGTTGCAAAGAAAGTGTTTACCTGAACTGATAGAATTTCTTACACCAGGTCTTCCCTGTATGAATAAAAACACAAACCCAGTCTCCATCCCTATGACTTCATTAGTTTCTTGCTGCATGCAGCCTTCAGGGTTTTTTTTGTGACCACATTGCCCCCATGTGGTAAAATCTGGGATAGAGCAGGTCTTTGCTAAATAGTTGCTGACTCCCTTGACTCTGGTATGAGAAGTCAGTGAAAGGAACAATTTTCCTGATTTTTTTCCACTACTGCAATATACCCATCATGTAGAGTGCACATTAGCTCAATTAAGGCCATGTTTTGAGAAAGTATTCTGTCTTATGGTAGGTAAGCTATGGCTTCAAACTGATAAAAGATGGGTCTATAGGAAGCCAAATACCCAGGTGAACATTTAAACCACTTGTAGAATATGGCCTTTGCCCCATCATACTTAATGTTCTCTTGTTTCAGTTGTGGCTGGTGCTTTGTGACCCCATTTGGAGTTTTCTTGGCAAAGATACTGGAGTGGTTTGCCATCTCCTTGTCCAGATCATTTTACAAATGAGGAAACTGAGGCAAACAGGATTAAGTGACTTGCTTAAAGTCACAGCCAGGGAGTATCTGAGGACAGTTTTGAATTCAGGACAATGAGTCTTCTTGACTTCAGGCCCTGATACTTTTTCTGCTGAGCCACTTAACTGCCCTCCCTGTCACACTATATGCATACGATGCCCATTGCTAATGGGCTCTGCAGTGTGCAGTTGTCCTTTGTCACCCTGTTATATTTCTGATTTCTGTTAAGCATAGTTATAATATCTTTAGTAGACTGTCCTATCTTGCCTATTCTTGCAACCTTTCAAATGATTATATCTTTCTTTTTTATTTTAATTTTTTATTGAAGCCTTTTGTTTGAACATAATTATAGCAATAGCTACCATTTATATAGTACTTTAAGGTTTATAAAACATGTTACATATATTATCTCATTTCTGAAATATCCCTTTCACTTCATTCTTTCCCCTTTCCTAGTGAGCCTTCTCTTGTAAGAAAGGCTTTTTTTAAAAAAGGGAAAAAAGCAGTTCAGCAAAACTATTGAACACATGGACGACAACTGACGTTGTGTAAGATTCCACACCCATAGCATCTAGAATGGAGAGAGGAAGGTTCATTTTCACATTTCTTCCCAGGGCCCAAGTTTTATCGTTATAATTGCATAGCTTTCAATTTCAGTTTATCATTCTTTCCATTTCCATCAATGTAGTCATTGTGTATATTGTTTTCCTGCCTCTTCTCACTTCATTCTTCATCAGTTCATGTGTTTTCCTTTCTTTGAATTCTTCATTATGTCATTTTTTTTAGCACAGTAATATTCCATTACATTTGTGAGGCACAATTTGTTCAACCATTTCCCAGTTGATGGCCATCTCATTTTTTCCCAGTTTTTTACTACCACAAAAATGCTACAATTGCTATTTTAGCACATAATAGAAACTTTCTGTCTTTGACCGTCTTGGGGTGTTTGCTTAGCCACGGGATTTCAGGGTCCAAGCCTACTAGTCTTTCAGGGCTCATCTCAAAACCATCTCTCACCATTTCTGTGGCAGTTGGTAATCCCTCTACTCCATTTGGCAAATAATGACGGACTGAGTATCTTCAAGTATCTTTTGACTGAGGTCTTTCTTAACTTTTTATGAACTTCTTCATGATCTCACATAGATTGTAAACTCTGTGAAGGAAGGAATTGTGGCTTATACTTCTTGATATCACTTTTGGTTCCTGGGATAGTTCCTTCTGAATTATAAGTGCCCAAGAAATACTTAGGCTAGTTTAAAGTGTTTTGAAATGTAGGCCTTCCTTGAACAAGTATACACAAGGCATGTCACCTATGACAATGTGTGCACAAGAAGAAGCATTCAAAAACTTTGCGGAAGATATGACTGCACAAGGAGGGGGGCTGGTCATATCATAAGAATAGTGACAATAGGTGAGTGTCCCCAAGAAACTGAAAGAACAAGGACATCTTTATTAGGAGAGCTCTCTGTGGAAAATTTGTGGGAAAAAAGACCCAGAGTCACGCAGGATGAGATGATAGCAGGGTTGGTGGAATGCCTTCATTACTGAATAGATTCATCATTTCATAGATTATTGGAGCTGGTAGGGATTTTATGAGAGCATTTAGTTCAAGATGAGGAAATTTAGGCCTAGAGAAAGCAAATAAATTGCCAAAGATCACATTGGAAACAAGCTTTATTAAGCACCTACTATGTGCCAGGTATTGTGCTAAGCACTTAACAAATATGTCATTTGATTATAGCCAGTTTGAAGGAGGTGAGTTTTGAGCTGGGTTTTGGACATACAGGAGGCGAATTAAAAGGAGAGAGAAAATGCATTTTAGCTAGGTAGGGAAGAGTGGCACATAACAAAGGCAGGGCAAGGAGAAGAAGACTATTGATGTGTTCCGTGCTCCCAGAAAAGGCAGCTTGGTAATACTTGAAAGAATTTTGAATTAAGAATCAGGAACCCTGGATCTAAGCCCTTAATTCTCTGCTTACCATCTCTGTGACCATGAGCCAATCTCTTACCTTCTCTGAGCCTCAATTTTCCCATCTGTAAAAGGGGGAAAATAATATTTGCATCCATATGGTTGTTTCAAGGACCAAATGGAGGTCCTGTATATGAGAATGCCTTGTAATGATAAAGTACTGTATAGAGGTAAGTAGTGTTTGGTGTTGGAGTCATATCCTTGTTGTGACTTCGTGCTGAATAATTAAGAAGCTATTTTTATACTGGGTGTTCAAGACAAGTACTTTAGGAATGATGGCATAATGTGAATTTGGCCTATTTCCTAGGATTCTTGGAATGAAATCCTCATTGGTGATGTGGAAATGAAAAGGATAATGGCTTGTGGCCGGTAAGTGTTCTACATCCATTGGAAGAAATAGTCATTGTCACTCATTTCCAGTTATAATCTAATGTTTGCTGTATTTTTTAAAATTTATTTTATTTTTTACCTTTAAAAAAATTTTTTTTGGCTGTATTTTGTTTAGGTGCATTTTAACAACTGTAGATCCAGACACTGGCATCATGAGCAGGAAGGAACCCCTGGAAACCTTAAGGAGGTATGGCAAAACAGAAATCCATCTGACACTTAGATTTGTGTAACCAGGACAGATACCACCTACTACTTAGCATGGCAGGATTTTAGATTTTGAATGGATCCTAGGGACTAACTAGGGTAACCCCTTAATTTTTTAGAAAGCTTAGACCCAAAGAGGTAAATAATAATATTCACATCTGACTTTTACATCTCACATGAAGTGAATTGGCCAGGGTTACTACAGGCCTGTAGTGGAACCGGGATTTAAGCCCAGGTCATTAGACCCCAAATGCAGTGTTCATAGGACCGTAGATTTAGTGATGGAAGGAACTTCAAAGGTCATCTAAGCCAGACATCTTCATTTTGAACTCAAGTGATCCCCCAGCCTCCCCCTCCCCCAAGTACTAGGGATTACAGGCAAGTACCACTATATTCTCTCCACTATTCTTAAATGTGTTGCTTTTCTTTTTCTTTTTTCTTTTTGGTGAGGCAATTGAGTGACTTGCTCAGGATCACACAGCTAGTTAGTGTTAAGTGTCTGAGGTTGGATTTGAACTCAGGTCCTCCTGACTCCAGGGCTAGTGCTCCATCCACTGTGCCACCTAGCTGTCCCTTCCACTATGCTTAAATGGAAGTAGAAAGAAATTTTGTGTAAGTGGTCTTTTGCCTAAGTGAGTACTTTGGAGTGTGTATTTTGAAAAGAATTCTCCCCATTGAGCTCCTTTGTGCTTATCTGGGCACCAAAGGGCAGTAGTCCAAATGATCATTCAAACTCCATGGGCCAAGGGAAGGGTTGAGAGGTGGGAGCACTTACCAGCATGGTGTAAGTGTTAAATGATGATAGGCATCGTGTCCCTCCTTGCCTTCCATATACCAAGAAGAATCACGGAATAGGCGTTTGGGTGTAGCCTAAAGAATGCCTGGATTTGGAGTCAGCCCAGTTTGAGTCTGCAACTAGTGAGCGGTCATTTAACCTCTTTGGGGTTCATTTTTATCATTTGCAAAATGTGGGATAGAATGGATTACATGCTAATGTCTAAGGTGCCTTCTGGGCCTAAATTCTATGTACCTATAATTTTGAGGAAGCTAGATGGCACAGTGGATAGAGTTCCAAGCCTGGAGTCAGGAAGACTTATCTTTCTGAGTTCAAATCCTGCCTCAGACACTTACTAGTTGTGTGACCTCTGGGCAAGTCACTTCACCCTGTTTGCCTCAGTTTCTTCCTCTGTAAAATGAGGATAATAAGTATGTTCCTTTCTGGGTTTTCGTGGGAACACAATGAGATAACAGTGCTTTGCAAACCTTAAAGCACTATAGAAATACTAGTGAGGTATTTTGTGTGATCTCTGTCTTCTCTCTCTCTGTCTCTCTTTCCCTCTCCAATTGGGCAATCCTGGGAGCTTAAGGCATTATCTCTAGGAGCCTGGTGAAATTCTCAGCTGTAACAAAACAAAGTCCAGAGGGTTACATTTGAATAGTAGGCAAAGCATCCTTTGTAGGAAAGGAATGAGGTGTTACAAAAACCCTTTCCAATCTCTCCAGTCTTTCCAATGCCTGCACTTAAAGAGGTGTATTGGTTTGCCCAAGGACACAGCTCATGTGTAGCACAAGTGAGATTCAGGCCCAGATCCCAGACTGCAAACTGAGGATTCTATATACTACTACTACCACCAGGACTGCTACTATTGATGCTATTTATTGTTCATTTATGTCTGACTCTTCATGGTCCCATCTGGGGTTTTCTTGGCTGACATACTGGAGTGGTTTTGCTGTTGCTTCTGCAGCTCATTTTATAGGTGAGGAAACTGAGGCAAATGGGGGTAAGTGACTTGCCCAGGGTCACACAGCCAGTAAGTATCTGAGGTCGGACTTGAACTCAGGAAGATGAGGTAGGCCCAACGCTCTACCACTGTGCCACCTAGCTGCCAAGGTCATCCACTGCAGCCTGGGCCATCATCAGGGGTCTTGATTTTTGTCTTGCCACTGGACTTGGATGGTCCGGGAAGAGAGGGAGAACTTAGTGAAACTGCTTCATTTAAATCCTTACCCCATGATGTCATTGATCCTCTTTGAAAACAAAAGACAAACTACTACTTTTACTACTACTTCTACTACTACTACTGCTGCTGCTGCTGCTACTGCTATGACTACTACTAGTATTATTGCTGCTACTACTACTATTACTATTACTACTGCTGCTGCTGCTACTGCTACTGCTACTACTATGACTATTACTAGTACTATTGCTACTACTACTATTACTATTACTACTACTGCTACTACTACAGCTGTTGCTGCTACTACTACTATTACTACTGCTGCTACTACTACAACTACTACTAGGTAACATTTATGTCACATTTACTATGTTCCAGTCACTGTGCTAAGCACTTTACAGTTATTATCTCATTTGATCCTCACAACAACCCTGGAGGTAGATGCTATTATTACCCCCGTTTTATAGATGAGGAAACGGAGGCAAACAGATTAAATGACTGTCTCAGGGTCACACAGCTAGTAAGCATCTGAGGCTGGATTTAAAGTCATATCTTCCTGACTTCAGACTTGGTGCTCTATCTATTGCACTACCTAGCTGTCCCTGTTATGTGACTCTCCTAAAGGGTCTCAGCAGCCAGGCTCCTTTAAACATAAAAGCACTGGCCCCTTCACATTTTCCTGCTGCTGGGATGCATGAATCATCCAAGTCACTTTGGGAAGTTGCTGTTGTTCCATTTAAATGCTACCTCCTCTCCTCTCAGATCCCATATGGTCTTGGACTTTAAAACAGCCACCTTTGCCCACTGGAGTGAGAAAGTTCACTTTGATGCTTGTACCTTGTGGCTCCCAGAGCCCTGCATGCAATACCTCTGCATTTTCTGCCCCTCCTCCATTTGTGAGTGTATGTTTGTTGGAGGGGGATAATTGACTCCAGGCACAAAGGTAAACACAATAAGAATGTGCAGCCAGGAGCTGATGCCCTCGTACTGATCTATTACAAGTGTTCATATATCCCAGCAATCTGGGCCTAATTGCCTCTAATGCTCTGTGAGACAGTGCAGCCAACCTAGGTGTCTCTCTCTTATCTCTTACTGAGATTTAAATTGTCATAAGTGTAATTTATATGCTCCCCCAAGACAGGTGGTCATAAATTGGGAGGGAAAAGGGCCCTGTAGGCTCACATAAATTATGGAGAAGCTAAGTCAACATTAGAGTCAGAAAATAGCCCCTCTGTTTTTGCAGCAGGGAGCCAGGCACTTCAGCCCTTCATGTCTGAGTTATTTAGGAAATGATACTTTCAGAATCTCCTATCTGAGCTGTCAAGCCTCTTTGCTTGACAATAGGAGTTGGGGTTTGCTAGCAAGTGATGTCTCGTGAGGCAAAGCATTAAGAATGCAAAAAAAAAAATAATGGCTAACTGATTTTTATATAGAGATTTTAGGTTTGCACAATGCTTTGCAGACACTATCTCACTTGATTCTCAGCCACCTTGTGTCATAGGTGCATGCAGATAGTATCATCCCCATTTCATAGATGGGGAAACAGGCTGAGAGGGGTTTAACAGCTTTCCCACAGTCACCCAGTTAGTAAATGTCGGAGGAGAGAATGGAACACAAGTGTTACCTGACTGTAAGGTGAGTGAACTCCACTAGGCCACATTGTCTCTTTGACGTTGGAGGAACTGCCCAACAGCTGTAAGATGCTGGGTGAGAAGGCATGAGGGAGCTCTTCTCAAATTGTACGATGGTGCCAGAACAACAAAGAGTGGGTGGTGTTGGATTCATGAACTAGCTGGGGTAAAAGGGCAGATAGAGCACAGACTACAGTGGAGTGCATACAGTAAGCACTTAATAGATGCTTGTTGAAGGAATGAATGATTTGGCAATAAGCCAGCCTTAGAAATACTTTCCCACATACCCACATACCTAAAGCAAGTAAAATGTGCTGGTTTGTGAGACAGCATGATGTAATGGAAAGAATATTGAATCAGGAGTCAGAAGACCTAGCTAGGTTCTAGCTTGTTACTACATGTGTGACCTTGGGCAAGTGAAAATCTCCCTGAGGCTTTGTTTCCTCATCTGTATAGTGGGAATAATAATATTACTTGGTCTACCTACTACACAGGTGTGCTATGAAGATAATGGAAGAATGTAGGTGAAAACAATGTGTAGACTAGGATGATGAAATAAAATCCTGTAATCCTAAAAGATGCATTGCTGTTGTTCAGTCATTTTTCAATTACATCCTACTTTTCATGACCCCATTTGGGATTTTCTTGGCAAAGATACTGGTTTGCCATTTCCTTCTCCAGCTCGTTTGACAGATGAAGAAACTGAAGCAAACAGGGTTAAGTGACTTGCCCAGGGTCACACAGCTAGTAAGTGTCTGAGGCCAGATTTGAACTCAGGAAGAGGAATTTTCCTGACTCCAGGCCTTGCACTCTATCCACTGTGCCACTCTGCTGCCCTTAAAAATCATTGGTGAGGTCAAAACTGGATGGTGTAGCAGCAGAATTGCTGAAGATGCTGGGAGGACCTGGAGAAGGCAAACACTGGTACATGATGGGTTGACTTTCAGCTCCTTCCCCACGACAGTGAAGCTGATCCCTAAGCCCATAGGATCATAGACTTAGAGCTGGGAGGAACTTTAGAGACCATTTGTGGCCTAAACTCTTCATCTTTATATGTGAGGAAACTGAGACCTAGAAAGGATATATGACTTGTCCAAGGTCACACAGGGAGGAACCAGGTTTTGAACTGAGATACTTGATGCTAAATGCAGTCCTCTTCCCCTCCCCTGCCCCCCATACCAGCTACTTCTGTAGGAGCTGTGGGAGAGGATACAAAGGCTTCAGCTACCTTGAGGGGTCAGTCTTAGAGCCTCCTCACTACCACACCTCAGTTTTTCTCCCCACGTGTTTGTCCAAACTGAGCTTCCCTCCCTCCAGGCACTAGTACCTTTACTGTAGGCTCTTGGGTCCTATGGGAATAACCAAGAGCTCTAAGGAAAATTTCATAGGGCTTC